CCCCCCCCCCCCCTGCTGCTTTAAGGACTTACCTTTAAATTATGCCTCTTGATCCAATCACCTTCTTTCCAGTAGTTTTAAGAAGTCCCTCTCCAGCGCTGGTGTTGCTCTCTGATCCAGCGCTGACTGCTGTGTCTTCTGTGTCCCACGGTGTCTGTCCGCGTGCACGCTCCCAGCTACGTGCATTGACAAATATTGTGTCTCTCCTCTTCTCCTGGCTAAAGATCTCTATTGCGTATGCGCCCACCTTATGTTCCTTTATGGACGCTTGAGAATCTTCAGAGAAAGGCCCCCCTGCCCACAGACCCCCACAACTGACGCCCCTGGGCTTGTGGGGAAGAGGCCCTTGTCCCCATCGGTGAAAAAGCACTGCCCCAGTGCCGAGGGCATGTGGCCTGAAATGACAGGGAGGGGGGGGCGCTCGCTTGTCCCCCACCCCCTTTCCTGCCCTGCCAGGCCTGTGCTGAGATCAAGGGTCTGGTTAGGAATTTTAAGGGGGACCCCACGTTTCCCTCCCACACACATTTTTGGGGGTGGGGTTCTGAAAAATTGCTACCAGACCTAAAGGGCCTGGTATGACTTTTGGAGGGAACACCCCTTTTTTCTTTTTAACTTCCTAACATTTCTACCAGACCTAAGGGGTTTGGGAGGGGGACCCCAAGCTGTGTGGTTTTTTTCTTTTCTTTTACATTTTTCTTTTTATTATTTTCTTTTCTTTATTTTGTTTTACATTTATTTACATATTTAAGTTTAATTGCTCATTTTTGTCTAGGGAGGAAAATGACAAAGTTATACTCCCCTGAACCTCGGAGCCAGCTTGCTCTCAGGCCAGTCCTTCCAGGGTCTCACCTCCTCCCCTGCAGCAGTCTAAGGTCCCTGACTCATGTTCTATACACAGTGGATGTAAAGGGTATAAGGAACATGCCATTGCTGCAGCAGAGGAGACAGGTAGAAGTGAACACTCTGACAACTAGCCAGCTCAGAGAATCAGGTAAGTATAACCTTATTTTCCTCCCCAGACCAAAAGGAGCAGTTAACCCTTTCAGTGCAGGGGTAGCCCTTAATGCAAAGGTTAATACAAAATTTTGCTCAGAGTTCTTTATAAATGAAAGCTAAAATGCTGGTTGCCATGCACAGCTTCTTGTGATTATGTCTGCTCCAGTCTTAGTAAATGTCCTTAAGTGTACCCTAAGCTCCAAATTACTAAACACGCGGTGTCAACCCTGCCTACTTCATTTCTGGTGGATTAAACAAAACACAGACCTCTTGTAACTCCCCCCAATCTCCATAACCCCTACTTGAGCACAGGCAGAGAACATAGGAAGTTATTATGTCACAAGATTCCTCCCAACCTCTACAGGTATTTTTCTGCAATTCTCAGATATAATAAACACATTCAACTGTATATTTAGCAGACCAAAAGGAAGGCAATAGATTCATTGTTGGGGTTTACATTCACTGTTTTATACCCTTTAAAAAAAAACTTTTATAAAACTTTTATACCTTTTTTTTTCACTATGGAATATAAACTCATTTACAATTTTTATTTGTAAAACAAAGATTGTATATACTGCATAAAAAAAAAAGTTTAACACTGACCAAAAAACATTATTTTTTGGGGGGGTTGAAAACACTGTGTGTTTATTTGCATGCAGATGATGGGGGCAGCGGGGCTGGTTTAAATTTTTTTACTAAATTTTTAAATGTATTTACTTTGTAAAAAATGCTCATTTCCATTTATTATTTTAACTTTATTGCCTTTTTAATTTTTTTAAGTTTTTAGTTACATTTTTATTTGGTTATTATTTTTTACTTTTTCATTTTCTTTTTTCACTTTATTGCTATCATACAGGGGATAACAAACCCCTGTGTGATGGCATTTGGAGGTGACAGGTACTCTTTATTGACCCTGTCACTTTCAGCACAGGAGTTCTAGCACAGGACTGTGCTAGAACTCCTGTGACAAGAACGAGCAGCGGCCGGGAACACAGGCTAAGTGAGGTGACATAGCCTGTCACCGCTCCACGCCCCCTGCTCTGTCACCGCTCCACGCCCCTGCTCTCGCTTGCCTGGCACCCGGAATTACTGTATATATGAAGATGCCTTGCATCGGTCCCGATTCCCGAGTTTTGACTAAAGTGTACATTTTACCTTTACTTAATATGTATTTATTCTACAGAGGACACCTTTTGTAAATTTAATAATGTGTTTTCAGTGCGGAAAATTTCTAAGGACGATTTGTTCAGTCAGTCATATTATGATTTCTGTCATGGTACAGAGCTATACAAACATTGAACAATAAACTGCAGGGAGTTGCAGCACACAGTGAAATTGCTTCACTGCTAAGAAAATACAATAACTCATGATCAAGATTGGGGACTTTCCAGACTTGCCTTTATTCTTGATTTCATATTCTAATGTGGCAGTCACTCTGTATATGTGTGTGAGATGTGACATGGCCTAGTAGAGGCTGCACAGTGGTGCCTCTTGGTACAATAAACCTATTGTTTGAAACATTTTTTTCATCAATCCATATAATATACTTTATCCAAAATGTCAATATTCAGAGCTACAGCTTTCTACAGAGTGCTTAAAGTGACGTTAACGGATATTTTTTCCCCCCTCCCCCCAATGTTAATGTCAGCACTTACCTTAAAGGAGAACTATGAGCTGAGTGCTTTTCACCTCATAGTTCTAGCCGACCTGTGACTATGAGACTGTCGCAGGTCGGTCAGTAGATCGGGAGGTGAGCGAACGCATACCGGCGTGCGCTCACCTCTCGATCCTGTCACGGTTCTCTGCCATGGCAGGGGCTGGATTCCCTCCTCCCCGCTCCGATCCGCCAGCACTGACTGGCGGAACGGACGGGGGAGGGGGCGGGTACAGCTGGCTCTGCCTCTAGCTGGGCAGATCCAGACATAATTGTCGGAATCCGCTTCAGCGGCGGCGTCTCAGTATACCGCGAGCTACAGCTCACGGTATACTGAGCCTTGGGTGACGGGAGGACGCTAGTTTGTGTCCTCCCCTTACCCTAAGGAGAACTATGGGGAAAAGCCTTAACCCCATAGTTCTCCTTTTTAAATGATGTCTCTTAATTCGATCTTCTTCTTTCCTGATGTTTTCATCTGTCCCTACAGCGGTGCGGCGGTTCTCCGATCCAGCGCTGACTCCTCTCTGCTTGCAGGCACTTCTGATCCAGCGGTGTCTGCAGGCGGGTGCACGCGTCCATAAACTTACCTTGCGTCTCTGCTCGTCTCCAGGCCGAGAATCCGAACTGCGCATGTGCCCGACCCCCAAGATGCTTTGCCGCCACCCTAGCAGTTCCGGATTCTCCGGCGGCAGCGCGCAGCGAAAACAAGGTAAGTTTAAACCGCTGTTAAAGTGTTTTTTAAAAAATTTTTTTGCCTATATCTACTGCTTGATAGCAGTAGATATAGGCCAAAAACACTGAGGGTTTAGAACCCCTTTAAAGCAGAACTCCAGAGCTAATCTTTTTTGAAATCCTGCAATAGTCCTGCTTGGCACAATATATTAGTCCTGCT